ACAACAACAACAACAACAACAACAACAGCAGCAGCAGCAGCAGCAGCAGCAGCAGCAGCAGCAACAGCAGCAGCAGCAGCAGCAGCAGCAGCAGCAAAAACAACAACAACAGCAGCAGCAGCAGCTGCAACAACAACAACACATGTTAACAAGGAAGGTATATGTTTGGTTTGAACTAAAAACAACTGGACATTCCGCGCTTTGGCCCAGCGACACGGAACGTAGAAAACAACATTGGTCAGTTTTCTCTGTTTAAGGGTGTCGTTTCTTGACGGTGCCTCTTTTGCAGTGGTTTCAAAGGGAAACCAACAGGACACTCGCTTTCTGGTGCCCGATTCTCACTTCCCGAGTGGATGGCCCCAAGCACATCCAAAAACTGTTTGCCCACCATGAACATGGTCATTCAGTTTGCTCATTTGCGGACTTCAAAAGGTTCGAGCCTTCCACTTGCTTAAGAAAAAAACAAACTCCAGGACTCCCTTTAAAACCAACAATATGTTTAAAGCAAATGGAAGTAACTAGGTGCGAGCCGTTAGGCCTTGCCGAATAGCAAAAACCAAACTCACCTCCCGTGCTCCCGGAAAACCATTCGGCCTAGGCAAACGATGGGATGTCGAATGCAACAGCTTAGAACAAGCTGTGAAGGAAGCAGCAAGGACTACAAAAGTGGGCCAGGGTGTCCTTGAAACAAGCTTTAAATTCATGAACTCAGGAAGTGAGTATCTTAAGACACACCTCACTTCCTGAGTGGATTGGTCAGAAAAAGTCTGAGCTCGTGGTTTACCACTAAAATGGTCTGCGCAAAAAGCTTAAAGTTCAGGAAATCGGGATGTGAGATACCCGTTAAGATGGAACCAACCAACACGGGAGGAACCGCCACCGGTTGCCCGCCGTGCCCGTGACGAGCGACACGTCCAGCGCGAAGCGCTGCACAGCGCTTTGCGGCTTGGCGCGCGCGGAGATCCAAAAGCTGCGGCCCCCTGGCGTTGGAGCTGATGAACAAACCATTTGAACTATTGCGAGAAAATAAGAAAAAAAACGTGCGCTGGAAACGAGGTAAGCCAGTTGGAGAACGAGATGGAAGAAATCACTCAAAGCAACTCAACGTCCCCCCCAAAAAAGCAACAAAATCTGAGGGGAATCTCGGAATTAGCCCAACAAACAACACAATCTGGAAGTAGACTCTGAAAATCGCGTAATTGCGGGACATCTCCAGACGTACAAGGGGCGATTTTATTCTCCCCGAACGCCTTGCGCCAGCTTGCGAGCTGCCGCAGCGAGCGCCTGGCATTCTTGACCGCGAGCGCTTGGGTCGAATCATAGGACATGGACCCAACCTTGGCCCAAAACAGGGGTGGGGGGTTGGCTGAAGTTTCCTTCTGACCCTTGAAACATTGTCATCTTCTTCTGACCCTTTGACCCCTTTCTTTTCAGTCCCCATTTCTGTTTGGAGATATTGGCTGATTCTGGCAAGCATACTGGGTCGAACAGCAAGAACGGCACTTCAAATTGGGATGTTCTCATCATTTTGGGGCGACCCACTTTGTTGGGATATTGTCAGGGTTCAGAAAAGCGAAACCAACGGAATTGTAGGAACCTGGTTCATATTTAGCCTACCCCAAATACAACACAGTTCTTGAGGAGAGCCCAGACATGCTCAACTGCGACTCTGTTGGATAATATTCTCAGTTAGCGGGGTCCACGCATTCAGCTGCACCCATTGGAGGTTACCTGTGCCAAGGGCCCAACATTCTCCTTGTGAACCCGTTGGTGGTTGCTCATAGTTATGGAACCTCAGAATCGAGGGGCCCGAGTATAGCTGAACTGCAGTCACTTTTTGGGTTTCTTCACCGATGTTGGATCATGTCTTCAGGTGTGTTGACGTGTTTTGGCTCTGGGCCACTTTTAGTGAATTGCAAAACACAGTCAGGTTCTTGCAAGCCCATTCCAAGAGTGGCTTCCATTTTGGTGGCAAACAACAAAGTGGCTTTTCTCTGGTTTCCCTTTCAAACACCTGGAGTCTCCATGACCCTAAAAAAATGGAGGCATTAGCCAAAATGAAGGGGTCATGGAGGCATTTTCTAGGGGGTCCTGGAGACTCCAAGTGAGTCATAATCAAAACCCGGTGTTAAAATGGTCGACCCAGAACCATGTGAAGAATTAAGAAGGCGGACATCCGCAGCTATTTATGGCAAGGGGATTGTCCCTTACTAACCTTCATAGATCCGGGTTTTGATTTTCGGGAAAATCCCTTGGCACCAGTTCCCACAAACTTAGCCAAGGTGCATCAAACCGGGAATCCTCCATCCCTGGTTCCCCCTGTATCCCTGCTTGGTTTCCCTGATTTGTGGCTCAGCTACGGACCTAAACCAACGTGTGGCTCCCACCGTGAGTTGCCGCGAGGAGGGCAGGCCAGGCGGCGCCTCCCAAGCCTGGCTTCGTTTTTTTTTCTCCTTCCGCTGGGCCGGAGGGGCGTTCTGCATAGAAACCCGCGAACCAGGGATCTCTACAGGACTTTTGGCCGAAAACACCCAACAACCGGGAGTTGTGGTGCAGAAAATGATATTTCCGGTAGCAAAATAGGGGTACAAAAAAGATGCGTGGGTTCCTGTTGGTCTATCAAGGCAGGCTGAAAAGAAGGGAGAGAGACAAAGAGAGAGAGAGAGGGAGAGAGAAAGAGAGAGCGCGAGAGACAAAGAGACACACCCAGCTCTAACCCACTTGCAGCAGGGTTGACTGCATTGAACGGGGGGCTTATCAGTCGGTTGCAACCCAGTTGCCAGCATCTTACTGACGTGTCCGAACACCCAAGTCTCTTTGCACAATCGTGTACAGAACACGCCCACATTCGATTGCGAACTTGTGGGGGACCTCCCAAAATTGAGTCGTAGAGTGGCTAACAGCCAGCAAGTGAGTCATACCGGTTGCCCTAGTTCAATTAGTCAAACGGTTCATCCTGCAAGGTCACAGCCTTGACGCAGTGTTCTTTTCTGGTCATATAGGTTTTTTAGTATTCTCAACATGGTAGTCAAGATCCAACACATCTAGCAGTTGGCTACTGGCAAGGGACTTGTGCTGGCCTCCTTACTTTACTATATTGCAGGCAGGCTTAGAGCAGTTGGCTCTTTGACAGTCAGATATAAGGGTGTGTCTTTTTAGGGGAGCCCACAAACACGTGGCGTTCCCCCTGGTTGCCCTTCAAAATTTCACCAAAAAGGGTACCAACTCCAAAACAAAAACACCGACAGTCACTTTCATAGGTCACCCCGCTTGACCAAAGGTTGTGTCCGGGTCGGAAATTCACTCATATGTGCGTGCCGTTTTTCGCGGGTACCATCTTGGGATTGGTTTGAAAGGGAAAACAGCTCACCGCAAAAATGGGCCAAACCCATATGGAGATTCCGCTGAATCTGGTGTGGCGTAAGATGCAGAAAAAACACAAGGATGCTCCCAAGACCTCTTCACAAGAAACACACTGCCACTATTCCGGGATATTCCGGGTCTGCCAGAAAACTTGGACTCGGACCCCCAAATTGGAAGTGCTCCTCTCTTCTTCTTTTTTTTTGGGGGGGGGGCTCGCCCCCTTTTAAGCCACCCCAACAGTTCAATTCGGAAACTGCCACTAAACCAACTAAAAACAACTAAGCATCAAGCTAAGGAAGCGGCTGGCTTGAGCCATCCACATCGCCCCCGCGGCTTGGCCTGCAGGGGTGGCAGCGCCTTGCCGGTGCGCAGCTTCCGCGGCAATCGCCAGACCTGGCCGTTCGAGCCAAGAGCCTGAGAAACGAATCAAAACTCGGTTTCATGCTGCTCCCCTGTAGCGGCTTTACTGGAAGCACTGGGACTGGCATTCTATTGCGGAACCTAAATCCTCAAATGAAAAAACACGGTTAGGACATCATGGCCTGCTCTTGCGTTTGTATCAAAAACATGAAGACAAAATCGGCATGTGTTTCCGATTCAAGCCGACCAATAATGGGCTTCCCCCAAAACACGCATCCCACTCGGCTGATTGTTGTCCACCACGACCCGTAGACGTATCTAGTTTCCTTGTGCTCACTCCGCCATGGAAGTGCTTCAACCCCAGTTTATTGATATGGGGCTGTCCGACACCGTTTTTAGTGGGGAACCAGACCACTTTTGGAGGGGAACACCTGGCCCCCATGCCAATAAACAGGTTGGTTGATTCATCCGGGGGTCAAGCATAGCTTGTCGCCAGCCACGAGAAACCGCACAACCATTTGCCAGTGACTGAGTACCAAGGGCATAGCCTGTAGACCCTAGACACAGACCCTAGAGCCCAGAGCCTAGAGCCTAGAGCCTACACCCGCAAGCAGACACACACACACAAACAAACAATCCAACAAACAAATGACCAAAGACCAGACACACAACCAACCAACCAACCAACCAACCAACCAACCAACCAACCAACCAACCAACCAACCAACCAACCAACCAACCAACCAACCAACCAACCAACCAACCAACCAACCAACCAACCAACCAACCAACCAAGGAGCGTTAAGTCGCGCGTCGCGGCTGTCGCGGCTGAGGCTTCCACCCGGCAGTCCAGCTCCACCTCGCTCTCCGTGTCCTCACAGATGTGTGGCACCTGCACTGAGAATTCCTGTGGTGTACGGGTTTCGCAAATGTCAAGAAAGCCAAAGAAGCATAGAAACAACAAAAACACAGAAAGAAACAACCAACCACCAACCAAAACAAACAAACAAACAAGCAAACAAACAAACAAACAAACAACCAAACAAACAAACAAGCAAACACGCAGGCAATCGATAATTTAAAGAAGAAAGCAAACTAAGAAACAAAGAAACAACGAAACAACGGCACGAAGACACAAACACCAACCAACGAATCAACCAAAACAAACAACCGAACAACCAACCAACCAACCAACCAACCAACCAACCAACCAACCAACCAACCAACCAACCAACCAACCAACCAACCAACCAACCAACCAACCAACCAAACAGAGAGACAGACAGACAGACAAACACACAACAAACAAGCAAGCAAGCAAGCGAGAAAACAAACAAATAAAGACGTGGAACAAAAGAAGAGTAATGAACACAATAATAATTATGTGTTTTTAAAGAAACATTCACAAGCACATATAGATACTAACATACAACTCAATAACAATCCATATAAACAAATAACACATAGTTGAGCAAACGGGCAATAAATGAACAAATCAACCAATACCGAACAAGGTAAACACACATGTAAACAGTTGACACAATGAGCAAAAGCAATGACCAACAACCCACAAAGCCACAAGCAAACCAATCGGTGATGCTTAGTAGACATTACACATTGCATGTTTGTCAAAAGCTTCAAAGCCATGTTGCCGTGTCTTGTACTTTTTGGACTTGAGGGCTGTTTGGAAATCAAACCAGGAAACCGGAGAAAAACACGAACATGGCAGAGAACTCAACACAGTCCCAGTGTGTTCCATAGTATTCGGCCACGGACCCAGATGTTCACTCACGCTCTTTGTAGTAGGCTGCATAAAAGGTAGTCACTTCACAGGTAGTTCTCCTCTTTTTCTCCATGGAAGAAGTTCCTTGGATGGCTTTTGATGTGAAACCACGAGCAAGCCATTGCCAACATGTATCTGGGTTAACACGGTCAGGTGGTTGGGCCCGGGTCGGCTGTTGAAGCACGTCTTGCCCAACCACCAGCACCGGTTGCGCCGGTTGTGGCACGTGTTGCCCAAGCGGTGTAGAATGGCCTCACTTTGGTATTGAATTTATCTCTCACTTTGAGTGGACTGACCCAAAGAAGTGCAAACTTTATGATTGCCAATAAAATAGCCTTCCCAAAAAGTTTGAAGTCCATGAGCTCAGGGAGTGAGTCTAAAAAGCTGCAACCGTCTCCCGATCTGACTATTGATAAGCCAATTCCAGCTGGGAAGTGGACCTCATCCAGTCACAGTATGTCTAGCTAACCCCTAGCTGACTACCCCCCCCTCCTGGAATTAGGGATAACCCCTGATTAAGGCCTTGTTAGGGTCTTAATAAGCCCTTACTATTAAGTCAGCAGAATGAGGTGAAAATAGGGCTTATCTTTGACGCGTAAACTCTCCCGGCTACCCGTTCTCCGAGAGCGAGATCCGGTCCTCGTCTGCCGGAGGGCGCTTCATGGCGAATCGCCGCAACGCCCAGATCAGCACGGACAGTTTCGCTGGTGTGGTCGTCCCTTGTTCATGGGCTTGGTGTGTCAAACAACATAATTATTACAATGACGGGTTGGGAAGGCGGGGTATATTAATCGCAAAGTAAGTCATCCAAAGGGTAGTAGCTATGTAGTCCATCAGAATACAGCCGTGCAACACCAAAGTTGTTTCAATTCCTGAAACGTTTTGGTCTTATGCCGACGTTTGCAGTTGCAGCCGAATCACAGAATCGCGAGCAAATCGCCGGACAGCTGCCGATAGCAAGCAAGCAGTCGCGAGCGACACGCTTGCATCCAAATGCTCCCAATGAGGCAAAACCCAAACAGGGCGTGCCATGATTACCCCCGTTGGTAATACTAAAGATCACCATTCAGGCGACTTTCTGAGTTTCCAGGCTGGGTGATGCACAAAAGGCAAAAACAACTGACAAAGTTTTTCTCACACATCCCAAAAAGGGTTGGAACACAGGATAATCTCTACGGCATTTGAGGAAGAAAAGGGTTGGGTTACAGGATAATGCCAAAGGCACTTGAGTAGTTAAGAGCAACACATTGAAACAAGGGTGATCTGAATATTTTGCTACCCCATTGTTTCCGCCCCAAATCACCCATAGACCGCCACTGTTGTGCGTGGCTCATTTACCAACCCACTTCCCAAAGTTCCTCATGTAAGTTTGCAAAAACGCAACCCGCGATCTTGAATGAGGGTGTCCCAATCACTGGGGTCATTCACAAACAGTGCAGGGAACCACCACCCACTCACTTGCAAGGTCTGTAGATTTCTGGAAACTATCCTGTATCTACCGTCGGGTGGCAATGTGTAGCCACCCTCTTGTTCCAGTCCGCATTCAGGGAATTGTGCCATCCAGTAGCACACATATCTGCTGAGAATCAATATGAAACCGCAAGTTTTAAACCCAACCCATTTAAAACTGACGTGTGAACTCCAACGCATTTTTAACACCAACATTGCAAACCCGATCCCTTTTCAGTCCAGGAAATTAGTATTCCCCAATTTAACATCCCGATTCGCTCGAACCGTTGCCTCCCAGGGAGGTCACCTCTTTCGCGAGCAGCTCCGAGACTTGTTGGGCGCCCCCCACGATGGTGAACTCCTTGTTGGGCCCCAGAGCTTCCAGTTTAAGAAAAAAACGAGAGCTGACTCAAGGGTGTTTCTGGCGGTACAGGGTTGTTTGATTTTTCTTTGAAGCTCCAGGGATCCTTACAGGGCCCCCCCTTCATGGGGATTGCCTAGATCTACTTCCACCCAACCTCTCTATTCTTTCCTAACATCCTTTGCAAGACAAACATGTGGGGCATTGGCATTGAAAAGAACGCCGGCTTTTACACAAATCGACAATTAACTCCTCTCACTAGCACAATGGGAATCTAAGTCCTCCCACCGCGCTGCTCCAAAGACAAGGCTCGTCCGAGTCAGAATTTGGCCGCAAAAACAAACAAAAGGACCCAATCCCCCTTTCCGACCCCACAACGCAACAACTGGCAGATCATTTGCCTTCACCAAACCAAAAACCATCAGTGCCAAAACCATCAGTCAGTGAGAGAGCCTAACGTGCTTTTTTGCTTGCACTTTGGGGCGCGCGTGTGAGAGAGCGTGTGATCCCTGTCGTGGAATCAGTTGTCTGGATTTCCACTATGCCACGATTGAAATTGCACACCGCCATGGTGCCATTCTGTGCGCAGCCCATGTCACATTTCATGCCCGATTAGTTGAAGTACAAAGACTCAGGTAGTCAGCGATTCCCTCTTGTTGTTTCTTGTTTTTTCGCCACACTTTCCTTTCCAAAAGAAGATGGATATTTTGGACATGCCACCGCATGTTCAAAGGCATGGACATGCCGCATCATGCCGCTGCCCTGGACGCCGACAACAACGAGAAGTACAGGCGACACGGTGCTACCGTTTGCCGCATGCAAGCGGCGCGCCGTGCATAGCGGGGGGGATGAGTTGGAATGAACACTAGTTAAAGCCAGGTTGCTTTCCACTATTCACCAACCAGGGGTTACTGCTTACTTGGCCGCCTCAATCTAGTTCTGAAGGCTTGCTTGGCTTACATGGGCGGGTGAAGTACCAGAGTGTGCTTCCACGTGCGAATTATGCCCCCTCTAAATTGAGGCACCCTTCTGAACCCGACGTTTTGCAAAAAAAGGCACGACAACCCCCCCTTGCCGTCCTGAAAGCCGCCCTTGATCTTCAAGAGGCGCTCCACCTGAAAGGATTCCCCTTGGAACGGGCCGAAGTGTTTGGCCTTCCAAACCGTTCGGGATTGCAACCCCACGTTCTCCATAAGCTCCCCCTTTAAAAGGATAAAGAACTCATCTGGGTGGCTCCTCTGTTTTTGAGGTTGGGTGTGCAACCCCGTCCAATCAAAAATCATCCGGCCAAGCTTCCGCATGGTGCTGGTAAACTCAGTTCGTTTCCCGTCCTACAAGTTCACCTGGCACAATACTCTTCAAACATCGTGTGAACTCTACTGACTTCGACCGCATGCAAAAAGTAAAACTTGTTGCTCCGCGCATCGCCATGCTTCGTTGCAGGGTCGGTAGTAGAACCACGAACCCTGAACGACGGGTGCTGCAAAGGAAACTGCGATACCCCAAGCCCTGCAGGGCAGTACTGCAGGCTCAACAAAAGGCCAAGAGGCCTATGCCAACAACAAAAACAATTTCTTATCCGGACACCTCCCAGCCACAACCTCGCCAGCCGTCTCCTGCGCTGCAAGAAGGGGCAGGCACAAATAATGCAGGGTGTAGAGCGTGGCCAGGATAAAGACCGAAGGCCGGCAGGAACAAGCAGGCAGCTCCATCCTCGGAAGCCTCCGCTGATGGAAGCCGCTGAAAGGATTAAAGGGCCGTCCTTCTGGGCAGCTTCAAGCACCTCCGGCCTGGAGATCAAGAGCGGGTGATAGCGGGTGCCCTGGATAGATCCACACAAGAGGCATGGCTGACGACGCACTGGCAGAAACAGGAGGCAAACAAAGCCTTCCCAGGGACAAAGGCGATGGCGGAACGAAGCAAAGGACGGAACACCTGGAATGCACGAATTAACACCCGCCATTGCCGCGGGGAGGCCTCCAGCAACAATGGCTTAAACTGCTTGCTGGTTGGAGGATAACATGATGTAAGCCCCAAAAGGCCTTCGTGGTTTCCCTTTAAGCCACTGTCCAGAGGGTTCCCTCAAGAAGCCACCCACATGTCCTACGGTAAGCAAACGCTACCTGAGGTCAGGAGAGCTGGTCATTGATCCCTGGCACATTTAACACAACACGTTGCATGTGTTGCAACCGAGAAACCCGTGACTTGGCTTAACCCGGACACATGGCGTCCTTTTCCGGGAGGGTTCGCCAGTTTACCGGGAGTCTCCATGACCCTTCAAGAATTGGGCCATGACCCCATGTTGAAAGGGTCACAGAGACTCCAGCCAAAGGTGCCCTTTCTTCCCATCCCATGGTCATAGGGAGTCTCGCTTTGCCTTGTTGACTTTCTCGAAACGTCCCTTTTGAGCGGCGAGCAAACTTTGCGCCGCGCCGATTCGCCAATTTATGGAGGATACGTCTTTCTGTTATTTTGACACGTCGGATATGGCCGTGGGTCAACACCAGAGGGATCCCATTTTGGGGTAGGTGCACCACCCATTTTAGTTTTTTTTTGGGGGGGGATTGCTAACCGGGGTTTTGACCCATAATTAGCCATATTATGGGTGTCAACAACAAATTGTGTTGTTTCCTGGCGGTTTCCAAACAGGCAACGGGGATTCCTGAGCCTTCAAACAATGACGAGGCCGTGTGCGCTTTGGATCAACAGAGCTCGGCCTCTGAAGCACAGAGCTCTGGTTTCTCGCTGAGCCGTCCCAACGTTTGACTTTGAATATGTCATTGCCATCATTTTCGGGAGGTCTCGAGGTCTCCCATTTTGACACGTCGCCAAAACGAAATAAGCCACCTAGAGTCTCCTTTCTGACCCTTAAACAAATGGGTCCATAACCCCTTAATTTTGGGTAATGACCAATTTTGAAGGGTCAGAAGGAGACTCCAGAAGTTGCTTGGGCTTTCGGTGGCTTCCTTGAAGGCCTGGGCTAGGGCCGCGGGTCTTGGGGCCGCGACACCGCCAGCACAGGCGGCGTAGTGCAGCATGTGCAGCCAGGACAGCTCCTGAGGCTCGAGGAAACGTTTCGCTTGACTGGGCGGTCCGTTTTCAGATCTGCGAAAAAGTTCGACTTTTAGTCGGGTTAAACAGAAATCCTCACTAAACACTGAAAAGCTAAACAGCTAAAAGCCAAGGGAATGGCGCAGCACCAAGTTTTTCACATGGGTCAACCAGAAACAAGGTGTGACCCCAGAAGGGGTCATGGTGACAGATGCGACAGATTGCTTTCCTTAGGAGGTCTGCGCTGGACCTTGCTGTGACAGGTTACCCAGGGAAATGGAATCACAGCATTGGGGATGCGGGGTCGCTTTTTGGGTACCCATCCGGGTTGGAATAAAGCGGAGCCTCCCTTCGGACAATCCCCTAATATGGGGCGATTGCCGGGCCAACCTTGGGAAAAAGCTACATTCGTATGACTGTCATCTCTGTACATGGCTCTTACAAATCAATGCCCTCTGGCAGGTATCTTAGGGCTTGCCACCTAAAACCACAAGGAGAATAACGAAGGAAAACCTACAAGGAGCCAGTGGATACGGATGTGCCAGACATGGGTCAGGACCTCTTCATCCGTCGGAGCCAAATCCGTTCGATTCGGTTCCTGAGGCTCGCAGCCAAAGACGCCCCGCACCATCGCGGCCACCAGGCCCTGGCAATTGAAACCCAGGCCCTGTGGCTGTTTCTATGGGGTTTGCGGCAACTGAGTTCAGTGACCCTAAAAGGGAGCCCTTTTTGGGGCTTGGACCATTTTTAGTGGGGCAGCTACCAAAAAAGATGAAGAAGGGTGCCACTGGACAACTGTGGCAGATTCACATGGAACCAAAATGGCGGGGGTGCATTTCTCGCAAAAGAAGCTTGATCGAACAAATCTGGGTGATTTTCAGGTTCCATCTTGCTCTGCGGGGGAGGAAGGGACGTTGTATGTGTTTTGGCTTCGGCGGGAATCTAATTGTTCATTTGGGTTGTTTTGGTACCTTGGAATACTGAGCAGACGCCTTACTGGAGGCAGGTTCAGCTTTTGGGACCTTTACTAAAAGACGGAAAACAACATGGTACACCCTCAGTTGCCCCTCAGGGATCCAGACATACAAGGTTAAGACCTGTACTATAATTTAAACTAAAATGTGGAAAACCGAAAGGTTCTTTCAGGTCGGCTTGCTTCGCACAACTAAGCCAAAAGAACTAACCATCGACTCAAGCCCGAGAATCGAAAGTTGCACGGGTCAGGTACCCGAAAAAGCGAGTTGCATTCTTCCGACTGCCCCTGCCATAGTGGTTGCTATACTATATATGGGTGCTTCTATATATAGTGCTTGTTTGTTTGAGGGTGCCCCATTTGCTATGGTTGTGAAGGGAAACCACCTGGAAACCAATGTTGGATTCTCATGCTCCGAAACAAAACGACACAGACACATTGTGAAGATATCAGAATCCGGGCCCAGTCCAAGATTGGATCGATCAAACCATGAAAACGAAGCCATGTCAGGTATTGGGCCAACCGCATGAGGCTCCGATTTATGAAATGCGCTTTGCCCAACCCATTGAATCTGGGTGAATTACAATATTTCACCAACCTGAAATAAGGTGGGGGCTATTCCCCACATAAACCACCATTTGGGGTAAGGTCGTGTGAGGTCGTTATCATTCTCCTAGAATAAATCCCAAGCCCTTTTAGTGGGTAACCCTTCACAACTTTCCTTTTGGCTTTTAAAGGGTGGCGCAAGCCTTTGGTTGCATGCAAAACCAGGTTTGCATGGATTCACTGGGCAAGAAGCAACGGACGGAAGTAAAAACAGGAAGGCGGCCTACCAGCCCGGCAAGGATCGCCATTTGTGTGTGTGTGAGACCAGTGTGTGGGTGTGGGTGTGTGTGTCAAACGTAGGGATTTGTGCAAATGGCTTCCTTGTAACAGTCATCCACGAAAGCGAATAAATATCACAAGACAATGTTAAATGCACACAATAAGGCAGTGCATATATCTATATATATATATACACATACAAACATACATGGACAGCCACGTCCAAATTGGAATTCCTGGCACACATGCCTTCGATCACTTTGACCATGGGGTCAGTACCCCAATGGGTACATTTCCCCATGGAGAGTCAAGCGAAAGAACATTGCCTGTTTCCCAACCACAACATGGGCCGCTGAATAGAAAAACCTCCAAAACAAGCTGGTTGACACTTGGTTTCCCCCTCCAAGCCCGAGAAACGTAACCTTGAACAAAGGTAGAATTCATGCTTAGGTCCCCTGCACATTCGACGAAATGTCCTGTTGGTTGCCCTCAAACAAAACGCAGACCCTAAGGCTCATAGCTTCTCGAATGGCCGGGCCGGAGCCCCCCAACGGGCCCTTGAAGACAACCGATATTGAGGGCCCCAAAACCATCGAATCGGAGTTCTAGGGCACTTCCTGTTCGTTTCCAATAAAGAAAAAGAACAACCTAAAAAGGGGTTCCCAAAAAAGACCGATACAACTACCAACAAGCTGCGGGGAGGGAGGGGGGAGGAACCAAAAAAAAAGGGAATCCTTAAAGAGGGATACCAAAAAGGCCGGGGGGGTTCCCCCAAAACCACACAGCCTGAAAAAAAATCAGGCTGAGACTCCATCCCTATCCAGCGCGCCTTGGTGGCGCCCTTGCCGGAGTTGCCCACCATCTTCTCCTTGGAGATGCGAAGGTGCGAATGGTCAAAACTCCGTTTTCTCAGTTCAGTGACCCTGGAAAAGGGAACCCATTCTTTTGCGGCTTGGACCATTTTTAGTGGGCAGCCACAAAAAAAGATGGAAAACGGGTGCCAGTGAGCTAATCAGAATTTGTTGGCCCAGCCTACCAGAAAGTCGGACCCAGCTAAGGACCGATTATTCGCTGAATATATGGCTTCCCCAGTCATCACCTCATTGAAGATCATATCAGGGTCCGACTTCCCGGATTCGAGCGTGTTTTTTTTGTTTGGCCGACTGGACCGTGGTTCTCTGGTGAACTCGTGCCATGGTGAAACTCCAGAAAGAATCATTTTGATGGTTAAGGATCTGGCCTGTGTATGGTTGCAAAATCCGCTTAGGCACCACCCTTCAGAAACCCAACGGAGTTTCTGATGATTCTCCTTTAAACACCAACGATGACCATCCCTGTTAGCTCCAAGTAAAGGCAACCCTTTTGGAATGGTTTAAAGGGAATCCAAAAGGGGACAAATACACGTTGCTCCCATATTTCCTCCTTTGCAAGAAAGGAAACTGATTTCGTATGCAGAAACAAATCCTTTACTATGGCAACCATATTCAGACCCTTGAATAAATTTAACATTTTGGGAGGGGACCCCATGATCAGGAAGCCATATCATTCATGAGTCGCATGAGGAGAATCCGGCATTAGTTGCTGGATTTCGTTGCACATGTTACATTTCTGTGGTTTTCAACTGGTTCGGCTTGAGCCAATCAACTCGGACGTGCTGGAAAAAAGTGTTTCCAGGTCCCAAAAGGAGTAAACATGGCGGTTGTTGGGTTCCTTCCGTTCACCTGTGGGGGAGAGAGTTGGCACAGACTTTCCAGATACCGAATGCAACGCCAGTCAGCGACAGCTCGTCGAACGTTGGACATGATTCACAAGTTTTCCCTCAGCTTGGGTGGAACCTACAAAGGCCAGGCGGACACTTCTCAAACAATGCCGTTTTCTGGGTTCCTTTTTCCGCAGGAGAATAGCCCGAACAACCAAGTACGAGTTTTAAGCGGGGCAGGTCGCGAAAGGACAATGACGGGTGGAATCCATAGAACACCCGCATCTAAGACAGTTTTTTGAGTAGACTGGACATCCAAGTACTTGGCTGTCTCAGCCTGGTTCCATAAAATTCAGGCATGGTTCTTGGCAGCTTCTGCCTTCCAGCTGCTGTTTTTGGTTGAAGCATGAGGATACCTAGGGGTGTAGGATCCCTCAAGGAGGAATGAAGGGAATCGTTGCCTGGGACCCCCCCCATGGTTGCGAGCAACCTCCTTTGGAGGGCCTGGTTAAACGAATAGAATGCGGGACCCCTTAAACGGCCCCCCTGGTCCGCAGAACCAGCACGAAACGCACTTCAAGGGGCCAGCACCGCAGCACTCTGAGCATCGAACCTGACCAGTGACCAGGGGGTTCTTTGTTCGAAGGCAGCTGTGGGCCGGTTTATAGGGAAACCAAACGGACGACCGGTGGCGAATTGCAACTCAGAAGGAATACACCAATTTATCAGAACAGAACAGGAGTGCCAAATTTTACGAATCCCATGACATATCTGGGAGACAGGTGGGAATTCCCAGGGTTCGGTTGGTAACGAGACAGGTCGAAAGGCAATGCTTTCCCTTTAAACATCACCCCAAAGGGAACTCACCGGAAGCCAAGGTTTCACCCACAACCAAGGTAGCGCAGCTTTGCCCGAAAAAGGGACCCTGAAGAGGAACGTACCCAAATCAAAAGTCAATCGCCAACTTGCAAGACAGGTGACAAGTTGCCTAAGGATTCTTGAAGGGGTCTTAGCTGGGGTTCTTAGGGTTTCTTAGAAGGGTTCTGAAACTTGGGTGTCTGGAACATCGATGGTACTGGAAAATGCTCAGGACCAAACAAACCAAACTGGCCTGAACAGAGATGTGTCAAAACCCTGACCCAAACCGCGTAGAGAATCATTTGCAGGAGTCTTTGCAGGGTAACTTTCTGCAGCTTTAAAGGAACACCAACATGGCAAGTACACATCTAAGACGGCTCAGGGTTGGCTTAAACATGGTTCCAATCTTACCAAATGCAACTCATTGGGAATCCAATTCCTACAACTTTGGAGGTGCCCGATCTTTTCCCAACAGCTGGTTTCCTGCGGTTCTGAGGCTGTTGGGCATACCACCTGGGCTTACTTTGTTCAGATGCACCTGGTTCAGGTGGTATTCCGGATCGTTTTCCTTCAAAGCAAACCAACCCCCCATACCCATAGGGTGATCACCTCAAGCAAAGACTTGGTGCTCTTATTGGCCCCATTAATTCTCATATCAAAGTCCCCCAGGTAGGTCAAAGGGAAACCACCGATTCCAGTTTCTGACTTTGACCCGGTCAAAAGAATGACATGCCCAATCCCCCCAAAAAGCGAAACTGGCCTGGCGAGCTTGCCGTTTCGGTCGCAGCTTGCTGCCGGGCCCACGCTCAAGCCTCACACGAACGCGTCGGGCGATGGTCAGAAGGTGTTCCTTACCCTCAGGGCCCCTACCCTGTTTCATGGTTGGAATCAGACCACTTTTGAAGGGGGGGAACAGCCCCCTTTTATTGAACTGGGGTTGAAATATATGGGGTCAACATTACTAGGTCCTCCAGTAGAGAGGATAGAAATAAGGGTGCCGATTCTGTGTTTTTCTGTAGCCTATGTTAGTAGAGGAACCCTCCCCCAAAACAGTTGGCAAAAGAGCAGTACTGGAGGACCTAGTTACCCTCAGGCTCCCTACTTGGATGTTCGGACAAGTAAGTAAGTGGTTCCTTGGGGAATAACCCCATGACAAGGTTAACCCGACTGAATGGGGGACTTATAAGTGGGGTATGACCTAGTTTACCAACAACTTACTGGCGAATCGAACACCCAAGTCCCTTGTGAGGACGTACCACATGACCCCTTTTTGACGAAGGTCCTTGGATCCCAAGTGGCGCACACATCGCACTCCTCCAACCCCCGATCTGTGGTCTGAGTCCTCACTTTTCAGCCACAGCCACATTGGAACGGAGCAGTCGAGTTTCTCTTAGGGGTTTTGTCTGGAATGCTGATTTGCAGTAGTTTTCTCCCAACTCAGGTCTTTGCAGGTAGGAAACAGAACATGTGTGAACATCTTTGCAGAAGGCTGCCAGACATCTTGCACGTATCTCAAATATTACAAGCAGGTGCTTGTCTCCAAATGGTGTAAGCCCACCAAAACTGCTGGGTTCCGTATGGTTTCCATTTCAACCAATGTTAACCTGAAAAGGGTACCCTCAAAAAAAAAGAAACCCTCTGATCGTTGTAGCCGCCTGTATGACCAAATCGACATAGCTTCTGAGGGAAACCCCCGACACGAGGCGTTTCTTGCGGAGCGGCGCGCGCGTATGGCGCACCACCAGATGGCGCATTGTACGGCCACCAGGCCGCCCACGCCGATGCCGCTGGGGATGTCCTCGATCGTTGGCTGCGGCGATAGGGAATTACCGTTTCCCTTGGGAATGAACCGGTTTTGGGGACGGATAAACCGCCACTTGGATGGTTTCTTCCGGGGTCCTCGTTCGACAACAAAATCGCGCACCCAAAAGGCCCAAACAGGTCTCAAAGTGGCCTTCTGCAAGCCTCCAGTTGCTTAAGTTTCCTGGAAAAATATGTCCAGCAGCGATAGATTCCCTTTAAAACCAACCTGGACCTTCGTTCTCCTGAAAAAAAACGTAGTTTCCGCCTTTGACTGGATATTCGGAAAATCGTAGCACTTTTTGCCGCAAAAACCGGAAACTCCTAAACTCCTAAAAAGCACACTATTGCACTGCTCGCGGATTAAAGGAAGCTTTGAGGGATAAACGGCTGGATGCAGCCCGCAAGTTTGTCAAAGCCTGCAACGGCGGTCCAAAGTTTTGCGGTGCAGAAAAAACGTACCCATTTTGACCGCAAAACGCCCGCAAATTTCCGCAAACTCCCGCAAATCAGGAAAAATCGTAATTTTGAATGATCAAGGCATTTTATGGTGTTTATTGGCACGTTGGCCAGTGCTGCGAGGTGTATTTGCTTTCTATGGCCAATGCGCGACTGGAAACGACGCAAATCGTATGAGTTGTTTGCCCCAAATGTGCTAAACCACTGGAATTCGGTAAATCGTAGGGGTCTCCTAAAACACCCAGAAATTTGCCGGAGTTTGAAGGTCCAGGAACAGTGGAAAATACAACATATGTTTAACCAAATGGAAGCAAGCCGAAGAAGTGGCCAAACCATGTAAATCAAAATGGCAAGACAAGTCTAAAGGCTGAGCATCCGCAAAACAAAAACATACGGCACTTGGGCTAGCCATTTTTTTGGTGTCATGATTTCAAAATTTGGTAAACTAGTCACACCCAAAGAATCTAGAGGGCTTCTTGCACCAGTTAATATTGCTGGGACATGCTGGCACTGGGTTTGAATACTCCTTCTACCAGGGTGAAGGTTCATGGCTCAGTTGCAGCGACCCTGGTTTGACTGTTCAAAGCAAACTGCTGATGTTTACCGGACCATTTTTTGACTGGGTGCGGAAGTAACCCTGATTCGCGGGGTTAGTGGAAAGCCCAACGGGCAAAGCGGGTGTAGTGCTGCTGGAAAAAGCACCCTCCTACCCACCATGAAACTTGAATTGGGGGTTCTCGAAAGACTCGATTCCTCTGGCAGACACGCGGCGGGTGCCATGTTGGTTGACGGAAGAGTCATCCTTTTGTTGGGTTGGATTGGTTTGGAGGTGTTCCGGGGGTGGTTTCCCAGCTTCCTACGAGTTCAACCGCTCAACCTGGATGACCCCAGGTCCTTGCAATGTGCCCCACTCGCCAAGTCGTGAGACTCCACGGGCTCCGAGAATTGATCTCTCGAAATTTAGAAAACAAAACAACAAGGGCCGGTTTTGGGTTTTGCATATCAGGTACCCCTGAGTTGGTGATTGGGATTGGTGCCTTGGGCTTGGCTATTAAACCCCTGGTTCTTGTGCGGCAATGGGAAACCACGCTTCCACACCTTCCACCATTAAGAAAGGACCCAACAAGGCTGAGGTCATGAGGGAGCTATGATCTAGGCGCGCAAAGCTTTGCCGGTCTACCTGAGAAAGAAACATGAGGATCCACTAGCAACCTGACTCAGGGCTCCTGCAAGACCCTTTTCGTTTGGAACCGGACCCTCTTTTTCAGCGTTCCGTCCGCTTGAATCTGCGAGGCTCCGCTTCTGGGGGTCATGGCCCTGAAGCTCCAAACACCCGCTTGCGCTATGGCTCCCTGACAACAACTGAGGCCAGGAGCCTTTCTGGGCCACAAAAATGGCCAACCCAGCTCGCCGTGACGCCAAAACTCACGGACATGATGCCATCTCTCCCGCCCTGATGGTTGGTTGCATAGGGCCCGACATGGTGGACATCAGCATTCAGCGGTGATTCGTGTCACTCTTCAACAGGGTTTCTTGTTGAATTGAAATTTGCAGCCAAGTGGCGGGCCTCAAAATGGCTGACTTTCCTTTTGGTTTCCCTTCAAACCAACCCCTCAACTCACTTCCTCAGTCGACTGGCCAAAACAAGTTTCACCAAACGTTTGTTGTGTAAGCCACTAAAATGGCAACCAAACCCAAAAGTACCTAAAGATACCAAAAGTCCATGAATTCAGTTGAGGTATCAAGCCACGAAAAAATGGGTCCGGCGTGTGCCGCCCTTGTTTTGTTTTTTACGCCAGGGCACGGAGTTGTAGTGCAGAGGTGCCTCCCGACTCTGCAGATCCAGCACTCTTTGGCCCTGGTAGTGCTGTGGATGCACCTCCAGCCCCAGCTCCTCCGCACGCTTTGCGGCGCTTGGTCTTATTTCATGTCTTCGGTTTGCCTTCTCTGTGTTTGTCTTGTGTTTGTGCTCTGGTTGTGTTTTGTTGTCTTTCTTGTGTGTGTGTGTGTTTGGTTTCTTTGTGTTTCTATTGAACTGTTGTTTTGGCTTTCCGTCTCGGCGCACCGTTTTTTCCCGTCGCTGGATCCCCCATACCTCTTTCTGGCCTCAAGAGTGGGGGTCCCCCAACTTTCCATGTTGCTCCATTTAAAGTTCCAGGTGTTGTTTAATAGACTAGAGACTAGGCAGATGGATTGGGGGAGCCGTCCGGGTTTTTTTAGTCTTCCCAAAAAAGATGGAACTATCAAATCTCTGCCCAGAGAACCCAGAAATAGAAGGTGAACATTTTTGGGGGGGCCACTAAACATGGTGGGCAAATCGAAACCAAAAGGCTGGATCGAGTCGATTCGCTTTGGGCAAGCAAGTGAGAAATGGATCGTGTGGTTTCTCCGCACCCGTTGTGTTTCGTTCTGTTGTTAATTATCCCCCTACCTCAAAGGCCTCAAGGGTTCCCAACCCCATGTTTCTAGTCTTCCCAAAGATGGAACTTTTTCCAGGAAAACCCATGCATGCTCGACGTTAAAGGGAACCTCTTCCCAAACATATATATATATATAATACGGAGGACTCCACTGGGCAAAGCCGCAACAGCTTGCGCCGGACCTTGACGGTACCGAAAAGTCAAAGATACACACACACACACCAGTGTACGTCAGGGTTGCTTGCAAGTGTTTGAGCCGGACAGTCTTCGCCATCCGAGCATGAATTCTTAAGCCAATCAAACTGATTCCTTCGAACCCGCAACATCCCCCTGTCTTTACTGGAATCTTCTTTTTTGGGCCCGGAGTTTTTCTTTTGGAGTTACCAGTCAACTAAGCATGGGGCAATGAACCATATCGCTGCCGCTGCAGCACAGTGACACAGCAACTAAGTGACCCGATCAAATCGGGCGAAAGCGACCCCAGTCAATCAGCCAAGTCATTCCCTACAGACCAAAACCGATCAATCGAATCAAACCTGATCGGACCAATAACTCAAAAGAAGAGCCCACCAACTAAAACATGAGCGGCGTGTTCTGTTGTGGATTTTGAAAAAAAAAAAACGGATACCTAAGAAGCTCCCGCTTGTTTCTCACTGGAATGGACTTCACACAAAAAGAGTGGGGACCCCCCAAAACTTGGGAAAACAACCAAACAATGGCCCTCAAAACCGATCTACCCTGAGAAGCAGCACTAATCAAAGTTCAGCCGAGGTCCTGTTTCAAAGGCTGCTTCAGGTTTCCTTCCTTACCAGGCCACTGTTGAGTCCTGTCCACGGTACATAACCAATTTGAGACTTAAAATGATACTCCAGATTGACTGGGAAGGGGACAAAGCAGAAAGCAGTGTTCCTTGTTTGCTGTTGCAAGCCATGGTTGGTCTCCAATTTAAATGGGTAATGTACCTTCTCAGCCACTAGCATGGACTCATGGTCTCAGCTTCCTGCTGCAAAAGGTCCACCGAGAAGCCCGCAAAATCTATGGACAAATGTGTTGCATACCTGCTTAAGAAGGAGCTTGCATCAAATAACCCTATGTCTCCATACTGCCCAAGGCACCCCTTCGGCCCCAAACCCCACCCGCGCCAAGCCACCCTTCCACTTCCCCCCCCCACCCCGGCGGTCTCCCTCATCAGCTGCCGGATATGGGGCTGCTGGCCCTCAACTGCCACCCACTGCCCACCCAAGTCCACGCCTCCAACGCGCAGGAAACGGCTCGGGTCTTCGACCAAACACGCGGCGAAGGCACGCACTCCATGCCCCAATCCCATGAAAAACCACGTGGACGTCGGAAGACACATTCCTTCGCAGCAAAACTTATAAACTTGCCACTTGGGTCTTCGACCAAGTGTAAGTTGTTGGTTCACTTCGGTTACAACCCACTATTTCCCCGTGTTTGGTTGTTTTAACTTTTGCAGAAAGGTCAAACGCATCCATTAGGGGGAATGTGCAAATGGAACAGAATTGCGATTTGCCGAGGGAAGGTCATGCTTTAGGAAAAATATCTGCAGAACGAAAAAGGAAGCAGTTCTTGCGGGGTGGTTCCAAGTAATTGGGATCCTGATCCGAATGGTAAACCACAGTGAAACCGGTTCTGTTGTTGGAAACCCATAATTACCCAGTGTCACGAAGGGATGGAATGCACAGAACCTGCCAAAAAGAAACGGATGCTTCCTAACAAGATACTGCGCATGAACGAAACAAGTTCGTTCGCACCGCCATTCAGAAACCCTCTACAAGTTCTGTCCCCAGTGAATATCGTAAACAAACGTTTATAGTTTCATTGCCATGGCTTCATTTCGTGGTGCGAACGGTGGAAAACGTCCCCCGCAAATGCTGCCCGGAATGAACATCTCCACAAAGGTAAACTATCGGAGAAGTCCTTCCACAAAGGGTGACTCACCTCCTGACCAAGTGGATTTGGCTGTTTGCAAAAGGGTGGCTTTGGGACCCAATGTACATGATGACGATCCTGAACGGTAAACAATGGCGGGTATATGAGCCCCATTGTGTTAATGGTTTGAATCCCTGGAATCCACGTTAGTCTCTTCCTGAGTGGATCGGCCAAACAAATGTAACCAAACTTTTTACTTACCACTACAACGGTCCAAACCCACAAAAAGTTCAAATCCAGGAACTCAGGGAGTGAGAAGGGTGATGTTTAGCCCTCAGGCTGGACTCACCAGGACCCCAACAGCTCCGTACAAGCAAACTCGTGGAGCAACTCATTGAGCACTTGATTGAACAACTGAACTGTCCAAACCTTGGTATGGTAGCAAACAACGTTGTTTCTTGCAGCCCCTACTGAGAATGAACACAACAAAAAAAAACAAAAACTAAAAAACATGCCAGCAACAGTGAAGAGAAACAACTGCTTTCGCAAAATCAGCCGTCACCTCCAGAGTTTCCCAGGATCCTTTAGCGCCACCAGGCAGCCACCACTTGGCCGCCTGGTTTTAAAGCCCTGAACACCTCCAATTCGCATGAAGCCAGAGCACAAGTCAACAGGGCTTTGTCCCCCCCCCTCCAAGAACCAGCGCATTGACATTCTACCGGAAATCCTTGTTTGTGGCTGGGCATTTGCAGTTGATATCTTAATTTTTGCCCGACCAACTGATTGGTGATTTGGGGCAGCTTTCAGGGAGGGTTCCGGAGGGTTCCTCTTGGGGGCTCTTGGGCTGTTGGGGGTACCACCTGGATGTGCGTGATGTTTGTTGCGCCTTTTTTTCTCCAAAAAACGGAGGAGTTCCTTCACTGGTTGCCACGACCCCACACCATCCGGGCCGCCACACGTGAGCCGCTGTCGGAGGAGACGCTGAAGGTACGGCCGCCCACGCGGTCAGAGGCTTCGAGGATCGTGACGCTCAGGCCCTGAAGGTGTGTCGCGTTTCCCGGGGTGACTGGAGTCTGCTTCTGGCACGGAAAAGGATCGCCTGTTTGCATGTCTCTTTAAGTAGGTGAGCTCGCCAGCAAAAAGGCAGAGGTAGTGTTGGGAAGCAAAAGCGAGAAAGGGAAGGACCCCAAGAATTCCTGGACATGTTACTTGCAGTTTAGGAGGACCCCTCCCAAAATACATGATGGGTACGTAGTTGTTTGACCCTCAACGGGCTACTGCCTAGGGTCCACTCAAAACTAGTTTGATAGAAAGAAGCGGATAAGATGAAAGCTCGCAGAAGGGGAGTCCTCATTGTCCCCCCTTGTGGGGCATAAGGGGGTTCTTGCAGAGGACGCCCTTACTTTTTGATTGGATGTTCAACTTACTTAGGACAGGGTCCCTGGATTTCCCCTTCTAATGTTGTAATTTACTGGTGATTTCCATTGAAACTGCCGCATTAAAGGTGCCAAAAGGAAAATGGGTAGGTAACCCTGTAGGAAGTAGGCCATCTCTATGTAAGTTGGACAACAGGGTTACCTTAAAAACCTTATTATAAGGCATAATCCACTTAGCTGACGAAGGTTGAACATGCGAGCACCTTGAGGATCCAAGCAAAATCTATGTGTGTTGGGGTCACTCAGAGGCCAAAGTACCTAAAATGGAACCTGCAGCATGACTCCTTTGGCTTCTGACCATGCTTACGAGTAAACCACCCCTTCCATCTGCTTAAGCCAAAAAATAGGTCTAGTAGTGATGGATTATTTTTGAAACCAACAAGAGAAAATAAAACACATATTCCTTGCAGCAAATGGAAGAACCCCTGCCCGGCAGAAAAGATTCACACCTTCCGCTGCTGATCTCCCGCCTTCCGCAGAAGCTCGCGTGCGCAGACCAGGCCGCCTTACTCTCTTTCTGCATGTAGAACCATGTGGCTGCGGGTCAAAAATAGGGTAACCCCAAAATGGACCCGTGGTAAATGGAACTAAGGATTAAAACCTGCGGTCCCCTGGTTGTTTAATTTTGACCAATCCCCAAGTAAAGCACCAAATTTCTGCATGGCATGGTCTACGTCCTTAGGACAAAAACTCTCGAGTTGGGTTACATGATGCACGGCCTTTGCTCCAACTACCCTAGCACAATAAAAACCTGATGAAAAGAATATGGTTGTCTCTTGTTTGAGGGTACCCCCTTTGTGTGGTTTGAACGGGAAACCAAGAGGAAAACCACCAATTTGAGGGTCCCCAAACAAAGACACACCGATATCTACAAATATATGAATGTTTCGGGAAGGCTGGGTTTGGAGTTAGCTGAAGGTTGTAGACTCGGGCTGGCCCATAGCACAGATGCGGGATGCCGGCGATCGGGGACAGGGGATGCGACATCTGGCTCGGATCAACTCTGGTTGGAGTCCCCCCAAGCCTGAGTTTGGGGCTCCCAATTGTACCATTTTTGTTGACTTTTGTTGCTTAAGCCCCCCTGGAACAAGAAACACACACAAAAAAAGAAAAACATATTTCCACTAAAGATGCATTCGATTTAAAACCAACAAGGGGGAACATAAGACAAACACATATTCATGTCAGCAAATGGAACAGTCGAACATAGCGCTGTCTGTGATACCAAGCTGGGCCATGTCCAAGACTACTTTACCAGCCCCATGTTCAAACGTACTGGAGCCTAAATCAGTATTCAAATTTAAACGAGAATGGGGCGATTCAATTGAAACTCGACTTCCTTTCATGAACGAACATTTCTAGCTTCGCTGTTCCTTGCAAGGACCGCGTCACAGCAAGCCCACCGGAATCTTACCCTTTCACTGCACCTCTAATAGGCAGCCCCTGTTGTTTGCGGAAACGGAAAGGCTCCCCTCCGTGAGGGCACCGAGTTTCAAGTATATGAGCCGTGGTCAAAGTTACGAATGTTTCCCCCAAAAGGACGTGAGACAATTAGAGCTCGTCAGTGTTTTTGTTTTCGAAAGAAACCAGAGTGAGCTCTCAGAAGCCCCTGCCAAAGAACCATAGATTTGTGGGAACCCCAGAATAATACACCCATCCTAGTAAGGGGGGTGCCACCCACAACAGCGAAGGATTCCCACAACAAAACACCCCCTATAAATCAACAAGGAGCTGTTGTTTAATCTAGGGTTCTTTTCAGCCCTTGGTATGGTAGCAAACAAACATGGTTTTCGTTTGCAGCCCCTTACAAAAACAAAAACACACACACACAGAACCAACAAACAAACAAACACATAGCAACAACAGTGAAGGATTCAACCATTACTGGTGGTGTTCACCGATTCCACAGATTCACCAGGATGCGCCCAAGGTACTGATGCCGGCGCCAATCACCACCACATCAGTCATGACCACGGCCGTGGTCAGATGTCGTGCCGCAAATGTCCCAAGGCTCACGACACGTTTGGGCAAAAAGCCCGCACCAAGAGGATTCTCGTTTGAAAGTGGCGTTTCCAACTGTCTCAAACCAGCAACACGAAATGCAACCACGCTTTTCCCTGTGAGCTCTTGGCTGCATCGGTTCTGCCTTCCGAATTTTCCATTTGCTCGCGGTGCTACTAAAACAGTCAGTCCTGATGGCGCCCTTCTAAAACTAATTGAACAAACAAATGCCTTTCAGCAAATGACAGCAACGTGCTGTGCATGTCATCTCGTAGCTGCACTCTGCATCAGCCAAAGCTAAACGGCCGTGTGGAGGTGCGAATCATGCACATGAAGCACATGACACGGTCTTCATAGATATCCTACATGAAGTCTGGCACTTTAGCCATGGAAGTGGGCAAAGGCCTTCCCTAAAAGTAGGGTCTTCGAAAACCCTTTTGGCAGCTTCCATGATTGTTGAAGAATCCTGCGAACTTTAATGAACCTTCCTGGAGATTCTAACACCCCTAAGGGTCATGGTGGAAGTTTGGGGCCTCAAAATCGGTCCTTCTGTCACCCCTAACACAACTCGGGGCGTAGTACGGAAAACCCGGTTCTGCCTACCAAGCCCCAGGACCCTTAGGGACCCAGAAATATCTAGGCGTATTCGGTGAATGGATACCATTGGAAAACAAGGAGTGTGCGTTCTAGTACGAACCGCTGGAAAACTAGTACAAAGGGCGGCGTCTATTCAGAGTCTTAAGAGAGAACAAATAAAGCGCCTACGTTGCAACCGTCTTGACTTCAGGTAGATGATATTATCTGATAAAAACCGTGAATTCCCCTTCAGGTCTGAATAAGGACACATATAACGTATCCATCCCCTTGTGGCTTCCTTCTCAATACTATTCACACAAAAAAGGGCAGCTATGAGCACCAATACACCCACACCTGAATCCAGGAAGGCCAACTTGGTCATGCGGCGAAATCGAGCGCAATCGGACATCCTTTGCGAGGTTGCTATAACTCAGGGTTCCAAATATGTCTCTTCAAGCATCATCAAGCATTATCCGGCCCAAAGAACTCTTTTGACTGTCCCCAAACCGGAACGTACAGAACACTTTGTCATTTGCCCAGATTTGTATCTGAATTTGGCTACAAGTTGCCTTGTTACTGCCCCCCAAACCAAATATATGTTTGTTGCCTACGGTCCAGGTGTAGTGAACCCAAAACAAAGCAAAGGTTCAAAAGGATCCCAGTCGGTGCACAGCACACGTTTCTGTGCTTGAAGTTCTCGCCACGTGAGCCGTTGTGTCCAGCACGTTTTTGGTCTTTGCTCGTCTTTGCAACTCTCATATCTCAGAAAGTCACAACTCTATGGGTTGACCCGGTTGCCCGAAAACACGTGCAAGGGGATTATGAAAAACACCCCTTTGTGATTTTCCCTTTGCAGGTGCTTTACTTGCAATACACAGGGAATCAACCGATGCCTTTGTCAGATGGTTGCCTCTTACTTCACAACTGTAAATAAGCAAAAGAAGAGACCTGCATGGAAAACCTGTGATAACGGGGCCATGCCCGTAGCTTGTCACTTGGTTCGGTTGCGCTTGACGCTCCGCCCCCCAAAACCCCGAGGCTCCACGCCCCCATGAGCCCGAAGATGCCCGCGGAGGCGCCGGCCGAACCGTCACGGTCTCAGAAAAAGAAGAATAAAAAAAAGACATCGACCGAGGAGGCGCGTCCATTCTGAAATTGGGGGCGTCCGATTCTGGGTGAAACGTGGTTGGAATCAGTCAACATTATCTAGGTCCTCAGGTTAGAATAAGTTGGTACCAACTTTTTCCGGTTGTCTATTTTAGTAGGGGAACCCTTCCCCAAACAAGAAACGGTAAAAGGGCACCTAGCTGGGGGACCTAGCCAAGGAGGCGCAGCCGTCCGGAAATTTCCGGCTCCCTCTTTGCGTTTTCGCTTGGAGAAAAAAAAACGTGCGAAAACCATATGTCCAGTGAAATCGACTCCCTTTACCAGGGGAAATAAATCGGAACATTTTCAGCTCAGCCTCAACATAGGGGACCCGAACAATTGGATAGAATCCCTTTTGATTTACCTTTAAAGCACCCTCCAAAAGGGTTCCCAAAAAAACATGCCCGCATATTGGCCTTTGCCCCCTTGTAGTAGGGCGGTACCGACCGGTTTCTGTACATGCTTCTCTGAGCATGACTTTTGGGTGGCTGCCATGGTCGAACTGTCATTCATTTGGGTGGTTCCCCTTCTAGTGGAGAACCCATTCATTGTAGGATCTTTCGGGATGAGTCCTCCAAATTAATCCAAAGTTATTTGACTGTTGCCCCTGCCCCACAAGTTCAGGTTGCTTGCTTGGTGGCATTATCTAAAAGCTCAAACTGAAACATCCGCCCAAACAGCATTTAGAGTAATGCAACAGCAACAGCACGCACTACAAGAATGCCCTGAAACAAACATCAGGAGGCCCCTGTCAAACGGCAAGTCATGTGAGTCACAACCAAAACCTGGCATTAGAATGGTCCCAGAAACGTGCAACATAGATCAACAAGGCGAATCTCCGAACCCATTTGTGGCAAGGGGAGTCTCCTCTTAAGCTTCACTTCTCGGGGGTTGATTACTAGTTGACCCCATATTATCCACCCCGGTTTTTAATCGTAGGAGGGTGTCCGATTCTGGGTGAAACGTGGTTGGAATCAGGGCACTTTTGGAGGGGTCTAAAACCACCCCCCTATTAATGAACTGGCTGGTTGATTCATAGATTGTCAACATTAGTCTAGGTCCTCCAGTAGAGAGGTTAGAATGAGTTGTTACCAACTTTTTTCCGTAGTCTATTTTAGTGGGGGAACCCTCCCGACCAAAAAGGGGTGAGAAGTTCACCAAGCGGGGGTACCTTGTTGTGGCTCATGTCTCCCGTCTCTCGACGGCCTCCGCGGCGTCGCTTCATGGCCAACGAGGCCACCGAGCCACCGATGCCCTGAGTCGGGCCGAAGGCCGGGAGTCCCTGGTACCGGGGGGGAGGCGCGGGAGGGGCGGGAGGGGCGGGAGGGGGGGAGGGGTCGCGAACTCCGAACGCGCACCACGGTTCCTCAAACCCATGGGAATGAAACCACGTCGGTATTTACGTCGGGGAATCGAATCAAAAGCCTGGATGATTCTTAGGTGCACAAATTCGTCCAGTGTTGCGCCCGCAAAGGACCCACAGTTGGAAGGTCAACCTTTTGGGGCCGGCCCAAAAGGGGGAAACTGGAAACGGTTCAAAAGGTCAAAAGGTGTTGGCTTTGGGCAAGCGACGTATCGGCCGTATTGTAGGGTCCATGTCTCTTGCAGCTTCCTTTTGCAGAAATGGATTGGCCTAGAGGAATCAAAGCGAAGCGTCCATCAACACACCAAAACCCGCTATGAATTCTGATGAGCACCGCATGGTTGATTGATTCTTCCCCATTTACATGACGTCCAGCAGAATCTCCCGAATTGTCTGCATGTATGTAAACATATGTATTATGTATGCATCTATACTAAACTGGAGCATCCCTAAGAATGGGTGACAATCAAGACCCTTGGTACAGAAACTGGCCCCAAAGCCGAATTTTGTACACGCTTTGTTTTTTTGCGAAAACCCACAGCCAAGGTCTTCTCCTTTTCAGAATGCCCCTTGGCCCAAACCCTAAGCTGGACTTCTTGTTCAAGGGAATGCAAACCCCCCTCCCTCCAAAAAGCAAACAAGCAAAGGAGGCACCAGGAAGTTGCTGGGTGGGCATCCATGTTCTCTTGCTGGTGTAGAGAATGACTGAGACCGGGGTTTGGGGGTGAACCTGGGGATGCCCTTAGAGGAAAACCAGATCGATTGGATGGCTTTTCTCGGAGTCATGAGCCATTTATCATTCCCTGCATCTCGAATCAGCAAGAAAAAGCGCCAACAAAAAGCAAAACCGATTGCAGTTGCCTTCCTTGAGCCGCAGAATGGCCAAACCATGCAAACACAGTGGCCAGACCATGTCTGAAAGCTGAAACATCCGGGTCAAAGCTCAAGCTTCCGGGGCTCCGGGACTTTTTATGGATGTCCCAGGCTGAGCCGCGCGCGGACAGCAGGAAAACCAGGAGGAACCGGCCTTCGAGCGATGGCTTTGGCTTGGTGTTCCGTGGGTTCCCAAGAACACTCGAAAGCCACGGCTTCCGTTTCAACTCACGTCCCATCGAGTTGATGGGCCAACTAGTAACCAGTTTTGTACATTTACCACGAAAATGGTCCGAACCCAACAACTTGCAAGTCCATAAACTCAGGAAGTGAGAATCCAAATCCAAGCCAATCCAAACCGCAAACTAAGGGTTGCCCATGTCTATGGTCGGCTCCTCACTCTGGCGTGTACTATTCTATGATAGAACCCTGAAATGGCATCGGTCTTCCTGGTGGTTTGCCTTTAAAGCCATGCAAAAAAGAGCCGCCTCAGTACAAAACAAAAACAGAGTCAGTTGGCGCCCAGGATTTCCGATCTCAGCCAGTCCCAAAAGTAAGCGTTTCCAGGAGGAATGCCCGGAGCAGTCACATTGGTCTCTCGTCAACTTACGACATGCTCGCTGCAATGCCAAAGACAGTGGCAGGCGCGGAGAATGCTGCTTCACCGTGATAGAATGAAAATCCGTACGCATCGAAGCCTCTGTTTTTCTCTCACCGGAGGGATGTGCTCATTTGGTGAGCCGAGCCCGCGCCAACTTCATGGGTGAGCTTGGAAGAAATGTGCGGGCGCCAGCTGGCAAGGAGCGCTTCCAAACAGACAGGCCCAACCTGCGAAATCCTGCACCAGCTGGTAGGTGAATGTGTAGGGTTTTATCAATCTGAGGTGGTGCGAAGTGCATTTTGTCCATCCCCAGCATGCCACTAATCACTAATAGCCACTACTAGGCTTCAATTTGCAATGGCTGCCCTTGCCATGTCTCAATTGGTATTTGGGGGGTGTTTTTTTGAG